GGGGGGGGAGGCGGCGGGGACGGGCCCCCTCTCGGCGGCCTGCTCGCGCTGCGGCCCCGCGAAGAGCCGGCTGGTGCTCGTGCCGCTGCGGTGCCTGGGGGCGGTCGCCCACCGGGAGCGGCGCGTGCTCCAGGTGGAGGAGTGCAGGTGCGAGACCCGCAGCGCGGACGACGGCGTGACCTCTCGCGGGACCCCTCACCTCCTGCACTAGACGGCTTCGGCGACGCGCGCTTGTGCCGCAGGGAGGAAAGGCTCCTGTTATCAACAGTCAACAGCCCCGAACTGCTCCGAGCAAATTCATTTCAAACTGAAGTCCAGCGACACGGCTAACAAGTGTCCGTTTTTGACTGTGTTGTATTCTGTACCTTAACGCTTGAACCGTCCGTGCGTTTGATCCTGCTCGAGTAGGTTCTCGGAATTGTTGTCTTTAATGTCTTTTGTTAGGTGCTGTCTAAAGTTGTACTGACAATGGATATTTTATCCAGTATGTTTTAATGAGCTCATGACTTGCAGCTTGATAGAGATAAGCTGTGAACTTTAATGGAGTGCCTTAATAGCTTAAGGTGTAATACTGTGCGTTTTTCCCATGTGTGTGGCTCTATGAAAGCGTAACTGTAGAGCCCCCTTGTGTAAGCTCTTAGCGTTGCATTTAAATTGTACAGAATTTGAGTTCTGTCTGTATATTTTGGTAATGTACTTGAAATGTTAAGAAAATGCAATGCATTGTTTGTCATGTTGGGTCGATGCCAACGCAAAGCACATTTTAATGTTCTTCAAGATGACTTTATTCTTAAGACGTGTGTCAAAGGACTACGAAATATAGGTCTTATATGAATATAAGGTCTTGTTAAATAAAGCACATTCATTTAAAAACGAATTGGTGTGGTGTTCCAATAGAGAGAATCAGAGTAAAATATAAAAGCAATTGCCTATATGGTTTCTTTATCCAGAGTTACAAACAATTTGTAGAATGGTTTAAAGCAAAGCTGTACGAGTAAAGTAATTCATAATGCGATCAACCAGCCTCAGAGCTGAAATGGGTTCATCATAATAATCAATTGCATCACATTCTCACCATTTGTTCAAAACAACGAAGGATGCTTGACTTTCGGGTCACATGAGGCGTTATTAATTTTCGGAACAAGTCATTAGCACGCTGTGCGCATTGCTACCACCACACCCGACCCCGACCTCGGCGCCCGTGAAGACTGATCCAGTTCGGTGACAGATAAGACGCCAACAGCGCTCAACACTGCACTGTTGGCGTACCATTGGTATTTTAATAAATGAAGTTATTAACTTTGTTGACCTTGTTGTGATATTCTTGTTACAATCACTGATTATTATTATTACCAAATTTCAGGAAAAAGCCATCACCAGTAACAGGGCTTCATCGCTCACTTGTTTCAAGACCGCAATCTCCTGTGAGTGAACGGCATTTATGTAAGCCGAAGGATAATCTATTCATTAAACATTGAGTCGACAGAACAAAAGCTTCACCTTTTGGTGGTGTTGCGAGTAGGAAAATGGTCCACAATGCCTTGCGAGGACGCCATATTATCGGGTTTTCAACTGGAATATTTAAAAAACAGACCGTTTACTGACCGCAAAGTATCATATCAGTCCTTTATAATTTCAGAATTTTATGAAAATTATTTGTCTCGCCACGAATCAAAATTTCAATGGGCAAATGATTTTAGCAGCAACCTTGTCATCTCAGTAACGTCACTTCGGTAAGTTCCCGCCTTTTCTAAGCTTAAGTACTGTATAATGCGCAAATAATTTTAACACCAACCTTGTCATCTCAGTAACGTCACTTCGGTAAGTTAAAGCCTTTTCTAAGCTAACGTTAAGACAAACATTGCATTATCATGTTATACCCAGGGTAAATTAAAATTGACAGCATTATTTCACCGTTTCACTTGTAAATAATCTAACGAGTATTTCATGTTCTGCGTTCATTTTTACATTCTATCGAACTGACGTATTATTAGGACAATATTCATTAGACATTTTTGTCTTACTATGGGTAGTGTTTCCTCTAAAATGCAAAGGTATTCTATTGCGTTCTAAGAAACCAAGGCAAAATCTTCCTGTCTTAAAAATAAATACCAGTATCAATGCAGTGATTTTAGGTCCTTTATGAAGTGTATTTCCTCTAAAAACGAGTCTTCGTTTTGATGTCATAAATTTATTAAGTTCGAAAACGTGAGTAAAAATTAGAGCTTCCTTGTTTTTTTTCATTGAGCCTTCAGAAATGTATCAACCTTCAGATGGGTAAACTATTTTGATGGAGAAGGATTAATACCTGCACGGTGAGCACAATGTGAATTAAAAACTGATGGACAGCGATTTCAGGTGTGGGGTTCACCTGTATAGACCAGGTTGGTCCAGGCCTGCAGAGTGAGTGTAGATATAATCCCCAGCAGCATGTTCTGGGTCTGCTCTGGGGTCTCTTCCCAGTAGGACATACCCCATACACCTCCAGCAGGAGGCGCTTGGGGGTCAACAGATGCCCAACAGAACCACCTCCACTGGGTGCTCTCGATCTAGAGGAGCAGAGACTCTACTCCAAGATCCTCCTGGAGGGCCGAGCTACACACCCTGTCACGGAGATGAAGCCCAGCAGCCCAATGGAGAATTATCATTTATTAATTATTTCAATTTTCTAGGTCTCCATGAACCAACGGCACCTGAGGAACTGGGAGACGCTTAGACGTGAGTTCAGTTAAACCTAGAAGCAGCTGGTGTAGCTTGATAAGAGATGAGCTGTAGACACACTGGCCCTCCAAGGACCAGGACTGGAAAATCCTTGAACAGAAACGTTTCATCAGAAGGACTGAGGGGAGGGAAGTTACCGCAAATGTGTGTGTGACAGAGATTTCTCTATCTAGACCCCTAGATCTCCTTCTGTTTGTGAAGTGTATTCTTTTCATCACATAAAGCCTGTTGTGTACATAGACACTAGAACAGATGTTTACTGTATCTTAGACTCTATATGATGTTGAAAGGAGAGGTAGCAGATAATTCTGTGCACATTTGGGTTTGTAAGGTGTTGTCTTACCCATAAAAGCTCCATTACAAGGTTGTTTTCTTAACAGGCCTCTGTGAATGTATAGATACCTCAAAATACAAGTTTCACGATTAGTTTCTGAAGCTGACTGCTAATAAAACCTATGCAAATCTAGTTGTTCAGGTGTTTTGTTTCTGCCTCTACGTTTTCGTTGGTTATCTTTCCATGCAAAAAACACACTTTTAGGCAGCTCTCCATTAGAGAGCCTTTCCACTAAGCATCTCCTGTTTCTGCTGGGAATCCTTGGAACATATTGATTAAATAAGTAATGTTAATCGATAAAGGGGGCTTCTGTTCTCAAACGATTGAAGCATATTAAATGTTTAAAATAATTTTAGTTGTACGTTTGGTAAAAGAATGTTAAGGAAACCTATTTTTTAACAGTCTTCTTTATAATGGGTTAATCATGGTGGACAGTAGTTATTTCAATTGTGCATGTCCTGATTGCATGCAGTTTGATAATTCTCTCAGGTATTGACTGCGATCATCCCCTCTGACGGCTGTGGACACTGGAGGCAGCCGTTGCCGTCGCTTGACAGGGAGGACCCAGGCACTGAAGGTGGGAATCGCCTCGCTGTGCTCGTCAGCTGGAAAGCCAGCTCGGGCTTGGGGCTCACCACAGTACTGAGCGGCCGTTCAGCAGGGCCTAGCGGAGCATGAGGGTGAGCAGGTGGCTCTGGAGCGAAAGGGCAGGGCAGGCTGCACAGCGCTGGGGAATAAGCACAGTTGGGCTCGGAAGGCCACTTTGAGGAGGAGGGGGGGGGCAGCTCAAGGGCTTTTGTGCTTCTGCTTAGTTTTTCGATCTTTCGTTTCTGTTCGAGATGCCCAACAAATGGGAAGACCTGAGTGCAGTCCTTACTGGGACAGACGCTGTGGCTTTGTGCTCTCTCCTGGGTGAAGTACTGCGGGATCATTAAAGGTGCACTCGTCCCAGTGGGGATGGTAGTGCGCAGAGGCTCCGTGTGGCTAAGTACAGATTTAACACAAGCTAGAGAGCGTTTGTGACTATATCTATGCAAAAGACTTACAACGGAGCAATATACAGTCTCACGTCCTAAAAAAATAATTAGCTGGATGTAGTGGACCATACAAAGCGGAATCTGCGGAATTGCTCAAGTTCTAAGTAATGTATTTCAATTAGAGAATAATTCAAATAAGTTATAGTTAATAAGTAATAATTTGAATTGTGATAGGATTTGTGGAGACAAAAAAGGCATCTTTTGGCCTCTTTCTTTTTTATATTCATCCCAAAGCACTTGAATCCATAAGAGAAAAGGCAGTGTTTGTGAAATCTATGGATATGTGTTCGAGTTGTTTTCCTAATTAATTTGAAGTAAACCTTAATTTCTCTAGATAAAACCATTCCGGACACAGCCTGGATGCTAGCAGACCTCGTTGTCCTGCTGGCAGGTTCGGAATGGGGGGCCCCCACTTCGTGACCAGAGGGACTCGGTGCACCTGAGCCACGCTGTGCCCCTGGCCTGGCACTGACGTCACGGGCAGCTCGACTCTGACCTTCTGCGGAGGAGCCCAGGAGTACAGCCCCACGCCTCCGAAATGCCATGCTGAGGTCAGCGCCGCTAATCTCCGGATAACCACCTGCGCTAGAAACGCACAACCGCCTGGCGTCCGTGGGCGAGGGGGAGCCCCTGGGGAAGAACCTCTCTGTCTGTCCTCAGGCTAGTCCGCTCTGGCCTTCCTAGTGGAGAGGTCTGTGCAGCATCCTGGCATGCCTCCCTGCCCACTGCAGGCCCAGTGCTGTGCCTGCATGCATGCCTGGGCGCTTGTCTGCTTGGCTGGCACTTTCCCTCCAGCATTCCTTGCTTGCGATGATCTGTTTCTTGATATCGTAGTCCTTTTTTAAAAACAGTGTATTGAAGATCTGTAGCTTCAAAGAACAAGATTTTTCTTGAAAAGGAAATCCATTTCTTTCCATCTCTTTTTCTGGCAGTTGTAAACGTCATCCTATAAAAAAAGGTAGGATGCACTTTCTCCTTTGTTTGCAGCATTACTGTAGTCTGCGCACCAATTCAGACAATTGGAGAACAAAAACAAGAGTAGCTCAGGACTCAGAGATGAGTCCTTGGGCTCCGTTCACAAGACTTTTCAGGGTCAGTTAGAGAGCTGAACTTCTTAAGAATTTCCTATATTTTACAAGTGGTTGTGGCTCAGGCCAGAAACACTGTGACATCTGTCTTGGTGTATCCAATTGCTCAGTGGCTGGGATTTGGTTTGCACCAGTTAGCTCACTGTAGATGTGTCCCACAAGCTCTGAGGGTTTTAACTGTTCTGTAATGGCCAGTCCCCAAGGTCACAGCTAATGGAGTTACTCCTGGCCTAGAAAACTGCTGTCCCTTCTCCTGGGTTGAACAGAGGCTCTGGAGAGCATTTAGAAAGAAAACTGAGAATGTTTTAGCAATGGAAGTGCAGCTCCTGAGTGTGTCCATATGGCCACCAATTAAACATTTAAACCGCTTACATTTAACACCGAGACGCGTTCTTTTGCATTTCAGTTGCGCTGTTGCCTTGCACTTTATTAAGTGAGTGAGTGAATGCGGAGTGGGGAAGTGGCAGCCCCATGACGCTTCTTCTTCACCATGTTGCCAAAACCGCTCTTAATGCCCCCGTTTGGAAGTTCTGAAGTGTCTTTGCAGGGACTTTTTGAAAGGGAAACCTGTTACTACAGGAGCACTTTGTCTGTGATAAGGGGTGCAAGTGCACCCTACTTGGGACTGTTTTATTCTAATACTCTGTACTTCGGAGGTGGTTTTTGTCTTTGTAGTAACAGGTGAATAGTATGTACTTTCCTCCACAGGATTTTGCTGGTTTAAGAAAAGTTTCATTTTGGGTGCATGGGGAGTTGTGTTGTTCTGAATGATTTATTCTTACCTGTGTGTTCTGAGGTGTTTTGGGCTTTTTGGTTCCAGGTCTTCCTGAAGGCTTTAAGCGGAATGCCTGTTTCTGGCGGACAAATGGTGCCTGTTTCCGGTGGATAGGATCCCATTCTGAGCTTTGCAAAACCTGGGGAGAAAGAGAGGCGTTTAAAATCGTGTGAGTTTTCATGCAGTGGAATCAGAACTGTGGCAAAGTGAGTTTGCAGTGGTAAGGGCAGAGAAAGTATGCTGCTGTCTTTGCTACAGACTTTGAACCTGAGACTCTAAGTGTCTTGGAATAACTGTGTAGTGAGGATTTTCCCGTGAATGAAGTGAGACCCTATTCTTCTTTAGTACTCGTCAGCATCTGCTCCTGTATATAGCACTGGCTTACAACAGCTGTAATGGTGCTTTTGCAATACTTGATCTTGGCTTTTATGTTCTGCTGCTTGGGCATCCAGGTATATTGAAGCCTGTGGAATGCAGCCCTGACCTTCTAAAGAGTCGAGGTGAATCACAAGTGGTGCTTGAGAAGGGCTGTTGACAGTCTCCTTGTCGTGAAGGAAGAGACGCTGCAGGCCTGCTGTAAGCTTTGGTTGGTTTCCTAGCAGTGAAGTTTCTTTGCTGGAATGTGGTATCCTTCTGCAGACTTCCATATTTGCAAAGGCTGAGTTAAGTAAAACAGTATAATGAAATCCCTTATTTTGTACTTCTAATTAGAGTGAAAAGATGCATGCCTATGCAAGAGTTAAACTGCAGGTGGCGGTCTTTTCATGTGCTTTACGCTCTCTGAACTAATAGTCAATCACATGTCACTATGTTGGGATCTGACATGAGTCAAGCTAAGGTTCTCTGTAGAGCACATGATGGGCTGCACAGGACACCTGCTACACTGCCCGAGGTGGCTCTGTCTGTGCTCAGCGTGTGACTGTTATCGAAGGTGCCGAGCGAGTTCCTGTTTTTCAGTGCGATAAGTTGATACTGGTTTTTGGTAAAGGTCTAAATATGAGATCTTATTCAGGCAGAAGATGCTGGAGAGTTTCTGAAAAGGCCTCTGTTCAGGAAGGGAGTTCCTATTCTCCTTTAGTACTTCTTAACATCTGCTCCCGTATCAGTACAGAAGTGGCTTATGGCAGTTGTCATGTTGCTATTTGTTGACCTGATCTTGGGCTTTATGTTGTGTAGCTGGGGCTTACATATATATTAAGCCTGTGGAATGCAGCCCTAGCCCTCTAAAGAGGTGAGGTAAATCGATTCTCCCAAAAGTCCCACCTCCCCTGATCCCCCGTTCTTCGATAAATGACATGTGAGTCGCCATCACTCCGTAAGGTACTGTAATTCTGTGGGTTTAGGGCCGCATGCTGTAACCCCGGGGCCCCAGCGCGAGTCTTGAAACTGCACAAACTGGCTGTCTCACAGCTGCTGTTTGTGGCTTGGCTTCCAAACTCCCTGCGTTTTTAACATTATTATCATTCAGCATTCAGAACCTGGCAGAGGAAGGTGCCAGCTTAGGGACATAGAATTACTCCCAGAATGACAAACAAAACAGTGTAAAAAGCAAAAAAAGGATATTGACGAATGAATCTGGCATACAGGCAGCGCAATTTAACACATTTGTTCATTTTCAAGACCAAAAAAACAACAACAAAAAGAGTTTTATTTTAGAGACAAAAAGCACCACTGCATCCGCTGAGTCTAAAAATAATCGCCCCACAGTGCGTTTGTCTCATGATATGAAGTCCTTCCTTGTAAAACCTGTGGAAATCTTTAGAAAATGAGTTGGCATTAATGTGTGTTACGAAGTAGATCATAATGTTGATTTAGCTTTATTAATTACAGTGCCTCTGACTCAATTGCTAGATGCCAACTACATTTGGTTGCCCAGAAAGAGAAAAATAATGCCTGCTTTATGCCCTCCTGGTTCTCAGACAACAGATCTGCTGGGATTTGACAGGAGTTGTGGGTGTTCTTGATCAACAACTTTCTAATTTGTCTCTCATTTGCATGATTCGGTTATGATGAGCTGGAGAAAATTAATCCGAGAGCAAACCCGTAAAATTTAATGCAAAAAAAACAACACTTTTTGTTCTGACCTGGCTGTGCCGTCCTGGATAGTGACTAAACCTAATCATGGACCCTGATGCGTTTTTAATAACGAAGAAGGTCGCTCACCTGCACAACGGCAGTTTCGCTCAGAAGCGGCACGTGACCGAGTGATTCCACAGCCCATTGAAACGCATATCTATCTGTGTTTCCAAACTTGCCCTTTATCTATGCTTTGCTGCAAAAGCTGTTGATATGGCTACAAACCTGTCAGCAGACATGATTTTTCTTTCCTAACTGTCCGTTTTTACTGTGCCATTCTTTTCCCACATTCACAGATCTCTGTTTCGGGCAGTCAGGAGCCATAGTCAGCAGTGCAGAGGGGTGGTTAGTGGTCCTGTACGCCAGTCTGAAAGGTTGTGGGAACACAGCTTGTGCGCCCTCAAGCAGATGCAAGAGAAGAATACTCAAGTGAGGTTCTTCTTTTACTCTGGTCAGTGCCCTGCTGTGGTAATGGGTACAGATGTAAATCACTTTGAATGAAAAGGCAGTCAAGTAAATATTAATAAAGGTGAAACCTTGGCACAAATACTGTGGTAGTGCTAAGGGGAGAACATCTACTCTTACAGTACAGGCTGTACAGGCTTTAAAGGCAACCCAGCATGAGTGCTAGAGAGAACTAATTTTAGAGTTTTAAGTTTTAAGTCTGGACACAACTGCAGTTCTCTTGTCATCCTGTAAGGCACAGTTCATGCAGGAATGATCACTAGTTTTTCATAATGGACAAGACGCACTCTAGAGACCCTTATGCCGCTTGACTTCCATTTTCCTTTTAGAGTTATCCAGCTGTAAGCTTTCAGCCTCTTGTTCCCTGATTTTTTTTTTTTCATTCCTGGTTGTAGAAGTCAGTAGGTGCAGAATGAGCTTGTTGTTATAATTACGGTCTCGAATCGATGGTAAAAAATACATGAATTTCTGTCTTGCCAAATGGCCCACTTGAAACCCTCTTAAAGGCATTTTTGTTTGGAGGAGAACAGGAAGGAGAGGCTGCCAGGTCTTGGTTGGTAGGAGTGTGGGGGTTGGGTGGTGGTGCGGCCACAGGAGAGCTGGGAAACGGTGCTTTTAAATGGTTTATAATAAATGCATTGAGTCCCTGTATCTTTCCGTGTCACAAAAGCAGCCTTTGCATTGTAATGCCTCCCTGAGACTGCTGTAGAAGGGAAGGAGGAGGGAGGCTGGGGTTGTGGAAGAAAACCGTCTTTAGAATTAATCAATGTGGAAGTGAGGCAAAAACGCACTTGATAAAATACTCATGAATACATGCTTTCCTAAATGAGATGCTTCTCGAGTGAGCTGAGAGAACTTTTCCTCTTGGTCTGAAATGTAACATGCGAGATGTGCAGGGCTGCTTCAAAATCCACCTCCTACACACATTTCACACTAAAAGAGGTAATGCAGTTTTCAAAGTTAAGGCCATATATCGCTCCAGACTTTAATTTGTGCACAAGCTGGGCATGTCCGATAACTAAGCCATCTTTTTGGTACTTCGCTGTTTCCTAAAATGAGTTGCAGATGCATCATAGCAGATCTGCTAGCATGTTCATGCATAAGAGCTTCAAGAAGCATTCAATCAAAGGATGCCCTCAACGTTTCTTTCTCATTTAATTGATCCCAAAACTTTGTTCATCCCATGGAATCTGCCTCCATCCCATGGCTGGGCAGCTTGTTGTACACATCCACCACAACTCTTTGTGTAAAGATGTAAATGTACCATCGTGCTTCACTGTTGATCATGAAGAGGTCCACTGGGTTGTTTTTATCCCCCCCATGGATATTGAATGTTTTTATTCAGGGACTTTGATAATCTTTGTTGCCAATGACTCAATATTGAATCTTTCTCTGTAGATACAGAGGATATGCTCAACCTTTTGTAAGGGACCCCTCGTTTAATCTCCAGATTGACTTTGACTCTTGCTGAGAAATTAATAGAATTTGAACTACAAGAGCATAGGAAATTGGCAGTGAACGTCCTCAAATGCTGCAGATTAGACAGGTCATTCAGCACCCTGAACAAAGCCTGTGACAAATTAAAGCCTTATTGGGTTCATCAGGCCATGTGATGTTATTACAGGAGCTGTCAGGCTTTATATACTTGCATGCAGTTTTTTCTATGGTACTGTTTACTGTAAGAGGCAGCAGTAATTAGGGCTCTGGACTCTGCTGTAATGTCATGGGTACAAAGTCTGAGTGTGACTGTGCCCTTAAATAAGGTGGTTTTGGATAAAAAAGCTTAATTTGGGGAAATTTGTTCTTAATTATATCTGGGCTTGTGCATGTATCTTTTTCATGATTTATTATCTCCTGATGTTGCAGCTTCAGGAATTATTCTGGCCTAAATTTGTCAGGTCAAAATTTAGGCCAGAGTTTCAGAAAGACAGTCTCTTCCTAATCATTCAGATAAGAGCTGCACTAAATGCATAATTAAAGTTTAACCCTCTGAGAGTTATCCACCTTGTTCTTAGAATCTTCCAATGTAAAGTCATCAGTAGTTACTGATGATCAACATCACTGACTACTGTATCTGACTAATTTTTCCATTGTCTATCAGTTGACGTAATGTAGCTTTTTTCTGTCGTTTCACCTTTGACTTGAGGACCATCATTAGCTTCACGAGAGATTCAAGCTGAGCCGCACCGTTGCTGCCACTCTGATCTGGTTGTGAGCTAACCCCCCATTACTCGCACATGAGCTGAACTGCTTTACTCGAGACCTCCCAGTAAACAGCTTTGCATTCCCCAGGATACATCCCAACACATCGCAGTGGGCTGCGTATCTCCACGCAGAGTGAGGAAGCAGGGGGAGGGGGTGTGCGTTTTGTGTGTGTGTGTGTGGTGGGGGCGGGGGAGGATGCAGGTGGCACAAAGCTGGCACGGGCTCGTCCCCTGTCCCGGGCTTGCCAGCACCATCTGTCATCAGCACGAACATCTGCAGCCCAAGGTGCCCTTGTCACCCAATGTTAAAGTTACGAGTTTGGCATCTCCATTAGAACAACACCAACCACAATCCAGAAAGGGAAAAAGCCCCTCGCAAACTACGTCAAAATAATAGTGCCACTTTGAGAAGGAC